TACAAGGGAAAGATTAGTCCAAAGGACTAATGGACCACAACTACCACAGCCTCCACCAGACTGAGTCCAGCACAACTAGATGGTGCCCGGCTACCCCCACTGACTGCTCTGACAGGGATCACAACAGAGGGTCCCAGACAGAGCTGGAGAAAAATGTAAAACAAAATTCTAACTCACAAAAAAAGACCAGACTTACTGGCCTGGCAGAGACTGGAGAAGCCCTGAGAGTATGGCCCCCAGACACCGTTATAGCTCAGTAATGAAGTCACTCCTGAGGTTCACCCTTCAGCCAAAGATTAGACAGGCCAATAAAACAAAACGAGACCAATGGGGCACAACAGCCCTGGGACAAGGACTAGAAGGCAGGAGGGGACAGGAAAGCTGGTGATAAGGAACCCAAGGTCGAGAAGGAAGAGCGCTGACATGTCATGGGGTTGTTAACCAATGTCATAAAACAATACGTATACTGTTTAATGAGAAACTATTTGTTCTGTAAACCTTCATCTAAAGTACAAAAAAAAAAAATTAAAGAAAAAAAAAAAATCTCTCCTCAATTCCTCACAAAATCCATGACCAGAGGAAGAAATGCCTTGATACGCCAGCTGCCTGGGTTTCCCCTTCTTCAAATAAGAGACCCTTTGGGGAACTTACAGTAACTCAACAACAACTGCATTTTACCTGTTCCCCTATCACAGCAGAGTTCTTTAAAACTAAATGACAAATCGTTATTGTGGGATTCACAGGGAGATCATTACAACTGATGCATTTGAATATCTTGGTGGAAACTGCCTTCACACAGGTGACAGGGTACCATCTGTCAGGCTATTCCAAAAGCTTAGGCTATATGTCATGAAAACACTGCTCCATCTCTCAGGCAAGCCTTATTGCTATACCCAGAAGCCGTACAGTGTGTGGCAATGTGGAGGGAGGAGGGGCTTCATCTTTTCAAATAACAAACATCTAGTTTTCCCATCAATATCTGGAACAAGCAACAGGACTATCATGCAGGGTAGACTTATAACTGGTTGATCCACCTTCAATTTCCTCTCCCCACTGATCCACCCTGCACACTGCTACCATCTAAGAAGTCTCTTTTGAAAACAGTATTCCCTAACTCAAAATCTATCAATCATATAGAGTTGAGTTCAAATACCCCAGCTTGGCTGATTCAAATGTTTCTTCCCTTCCTTCTCACTAGTACTTCTTAGTAAATATCTACAGTGCTCCTTCCAGGTGCCTATGCCAAACACTTGAGGAAACAGATGACTGAGCAGCTATCCTGCCCTCAATGAGTTCATATCTGGGGGGGAAGATGGACCCAAAAGACAATTACACTATTCACTAGGGTCACCACAGGATACTATGGGAGGACACATGGAGGAGACAAAAATAATCCAGCCTGAACCACCAGGGAAAATTTAGAAGAGGTGGCAACTGAGCCATATCTTTAAGGTAGGAAAGAACCGTTTTATAAACTTAAGAAGCTGAGAGGCTGTTGGAAGGGCAGATTCCAGTGATACTTAGGAGAAAAATCCTCCACTTCATTTGATAGTCTGGTTCACTTTGTTAACCATAACTTGTACACCCCATCCCTTCTCCTAAAATATCCTTTTCCAATAACTATGAATCTTCCTATATGGAAGGTTGAGCTCCAGTGCACCTTCCCTCTGGGAGCACTCCCTTCAGAGCTCAGAGGTCCCCCCTCCGTCGTCCAAACTCTTAGAGCTCACACTGCATAAGAAAAACACAGTCAGAGGACATTTAATCCAAAAGGGTCCTAGATCCTGCCTAAGGTCCTTATCACACACAACTATCATTACTGTCATCAAATCCTGACTAAGTACCAGATGTTCGGCACTTTCCTAGGTTAGGAGGCCCAGATAAGACAAAGCACCCATCTTCCAGGATCTTATACTCTGAAGAAATAAAGTGTGCCCACAATAACTGCTATCATCCCCTGAGCTCCTACTATTTGCCAGAAGGACACCACATGCTTTAAATAATCTCATTTAATCCTTACAAACAACTCAGAGAAAGAATCTGAGCCTGAACGGCGCAAGTGAGCCATAAAGCTGGGATTTGAACTCAAGTCTGCCTGGCTCCAAAGTTTCTGTCTTTCCACTTCAGCACATGGCCTCCTTCACAATGCTAGACATGAATTTCACAGGCAAAGCAGAAACAACCCAGAAGACTAAAGAAAAGGAATAGATGTGCTTCTACTTGGGGCAAACAAAGAAAGCTTTCTGGAGGATGGGCAAAAGTTCTGTAAGTGAGAAGGAGTAAAAGCCTTCCAGAAAACGGGCTAGTTTGAACAGTCACAGAAATGGAGAAATGCAAGGCCTGGCTCACAGAAACGTTTAACTAGAGCACCCGATTTGATAGGAATCTAAGAAGCAAAATATCATGGTAGTCAAGCACTCAGGCTCTGGAAGCAAAATGCCAGGGCTTGAATCCAGACTTTGCTACTTTCTCTATGACCTTGGGCAAGGTACTTAACCTCTCTGTTCCTTATCTATTATATGGGGATAATAAATAGTACCTCCTCATAGGCTGAGATCAATGCCTGGCATATACTGAACACTCAATAAAGACTAGCTTTTCTCACTGTTTTATTATTACTATTACTATTGAGAGGATAGCGGCCTGGAAAAGGCAGGCTGTGGAAGGTCTTGAAAAGAAATCAATGCTTTTAGGTTTATCCCTGTATGCAAAGGACAGCCAAGGAAAGGGATGGATCTCAGCCACTGTCTTCTGTTCATGGATCTAAAC